CAGCTGGCGAAAAGTGAGCAGTGAGACAATTCAGAACTGTTTTTTTCACTGTGGCTTTAAGCACTTGATTTTGGAGTTGGATATGGACATGCTCATTAAAAGTGAAAATGATGATTTACACGTGGAACTTCAACAGGTACAAAATTGCGAAGAATTTTTATCCTTTAATGCTACAATGAAAATAAAGATTAAGATGCTACAATTGTTGCTCAAGTTGCAGCAAAACACATGACAGCATCGGAAAACCAAGAAAGTGATGATGATGATGCCACTAATAAGTTGGTGCAAGTGACAACATGTGAGGAAATGCATTGAAACTTTGCATTGATATTTCACGCTGGAGGGAAACGAGAGGCAGTCCCATTACTGCATTAGATGTTTGTGGCAATTTCGTTCATGTACAATCCGTCAAGAGAACGCGTCAGATCACATTCGATAAGTTCTTCAAATGTTGACTGGAACTTAGTAAGAACTTGTTTTTATTGTGCTTCGTATTATGCAGATCGTATCTTAGAATTTGTTTCTAAATTAATTTTCTCAATAAAAAAAGTTCGACTGTAGTTCTTGTTTGTGCATGCATGTTCGCCATATGTGTGTACCATACAATAAAGGTCATAATTACATTTTAGTACATGATTTACATGTACACTTACTGTTTAATACATATAGCACGTCCCGTCTTACAACATAGGACATGTTCGTGTAATCGGACCAGCCAGTTATTAGCACCAAAACGATCGCTTCCCGATGTGGTCCGATTAACCGGAATCGACTGTATATATTTTGCTAAAATCGCCAAACTTATACCTATAATTTAAGATTAATCCCGTATTGTTTTAATCAACAAGTGAGTAGAAGTTAATTTTAGCAATGATAGAACTATTATTTCGCTAATTATAAAGTTAAGAGCGCAGCATCTAAAATGAGCACAAGAATGTCAATTATAGAAAATTTATGCTGATTCTAGAAACCCCCGATTATGCACTGCCAATATGCATGATTTTTATGTAATGCTTATGATGCACATACTTACATAAAGCTTCAGTTAATAATAATTTCAAATTTGGCAACCCAAACTTAAAATTAACAAATAGGGATAAAGTTAAACTAAATCATTATGCACCAAACTTTTGTCTCTGACACACTGCATTCGTCTTTCTCTTACTGTCCTGCCAATGTGACTGGAACTTAGTAACAATGATAATAAGTAATTATGTGTGAAATGATAAGTAATTATGTATTTCATACATAATAATAAGTAATTACGTATGAAAGCAGGTATATTAAAAACTAATGAAAAGGCATGTGTGTGCATATGCATTTGCGTTAAGATTAACAAGTTTATGGCAAGAAACATAAAGCTGCATTCATGACTAATTGAACACACTCTTAATACACATTGCACAGTCTAATGTATACAGTCTATATACCAATGTGGTGCCATTTAACTCTCTTTCATCAGTTGTATTGTCATAATGACATCAAATAGTACAAATGTGATTAAAACAGGTATACAGACTGTATTACATTATGCTGTGCAATGTGTATTAAGAGTGTGTTCAATTAGTCATGAATGCTGCTTTATGTTTCTTGCCATAAACTTGTAAATCTTAACGCAAATGCATATGCACACACATGCCTTTTCATTAGTTTTTAATATACCTGCTTTCATACACAATTACTTATTATTATGTATGAAATACATAATTACTTATCATTTCACACATAATTACTTTTATCATTGTTCAATAACAGTCTAACGAATACCTAGTTCTTAGATTTCAGTTACCTACAGTTGTAACCATCATTACCAACAGGTGGCACCACTTAGTAGTTTAATCAATTATACCTATTTTTTACAAACATTCCTTACATTTCATAACTGTTTGTCTAAAAAAAAAAAAAAAAAGTTGATTCATAATTTTAAATTAAAAAAAAAATATGCTCAAAATTTACACAGATACTGTATTAATTCTAAATCTCATTGCTACATGATTTTTCGAGTATGAATAACATGGAAATCCACAGAAATTTTCTCAGAGAAAGATAAGATTATATTCTGGGGAGAGGAGAAATGTACTATTTTTCTTCTTCTGTGGATGCTTATGATGAATGATTACATTGTCAGATAAATATATCATCTCATTCCCATTTCTTTTTTTCATTCTATAAAATTATTTTACTCTTCCTCTTTCTGTTGACTTATATCCAGATATTTCCCTTCTTTTCTTCATGATGGCAGCCAGGATGGGAATTAAATGTTCTGAAAAAACACTTTTAAATTGGCAAGCTAGGCTGTGCACTTAGCCATCATAACACTTCATTTTGATTTTTTCTCCCTTATTTAGACAACCTATTGTAAGAATGCAGTTTTTTTAATGAAGTTCTACATAGAGCAACATGACAAATATGTCCAATAAGTGCAAATATATTAGAAGATAAACTACAGAATATGAAGAATTTATATTCTGTAGTTAATTGATTTATAATTCGCAATCTACTGCATTGATGTTATGTGAAGATTCAAATATCTACATTCATGTTAACCTTTTGATATGCAAATAAAATATCTGTCGATGTGTCTGAAGTATACCATTTAATTTGGCTCACCTGTGGACACTCATTGCAAGCTTAGAATCAGAACATTTTATTTTCAAATTTACATTGCTATATAACATTCAATAAAGTTGATATATAATATTAATGTACAATAATTAAGTGATACTATAAAGTAATAATTTAGTAGTTCTGTTAAAAAATGGTAAATGTCAAAGCATTTTGGAATACATAGTGAAACTAGACATGTTTTACATTGCCAAGTTGTTTCACTTTTGTCATGTTTGATGCACACATGGTATTTCTTTGCAAGATGTTGCTTTTTATTTGTTGCAAATATATATTCAGAAAAATGTGCACAATGTTTTATTTGTTACTAAGTTGGACATTCCTGCCACATATCACAGTTTGGAAGGGACAAATTACACAATTTAGTTGTCCTCTGAATTTCACTAAGGATTTATCCATGAGGATATTTTGTTCTGGAATGTATAACTGTTAAAATCTTCAACACCATGGATCAAACCTTTCACATTCTGTCTTCTTTAGAAACCATCTCTTTATCCACAAAATGAAGATACTCTGTTATGACCAAAAAACATTTACAAGGCATAGTTTGTGAAAATATGAATGTTTCTAATATTTTTCGTTTTGACCAATACATTTCTATTTCAGATTTTTTTATCTGCAACATTATAATGCATAATGCAAAATATGCTCTAACCTCATTTAATTACTCCTTATTCATTTTCGCATTCTGTTCCATTTTAATTTGTGCTGCATAGTTATTTGCTTCTGTAACTACCATTTCAAACAAATCATCACATAAAACTTGTTTGATAACACACAGAGGTGTTGCATTTATACCCAATCATCATAGACTAAATAACACTGGAATTTCTAGTATATTGTTTTATATTCACAATATTTTCTTTTCCTTTCCAATTCCATTCATCCTCTGCTACATTAGAACCTTCAATGTTTGAAATAGGTCTTGCATGTTTAGGCACATTTTGTCTTCACTTGAATTTGAAGCATCATTTGAATACTCAACAGTGTAATCACTTTGATGACCATTTTCATTCTCATTATCAACACCAGAATAGCATAAAAGACTTTTATCATCACTTTCATATAATACAATACATTCAACTCTGTTGGGAGGACTACTTCTAATTTTTACTAAATTCAAATATGTACTATGGTGTTGGTGTACGAGATCACTGCTATACTCTGCTACATTAGAACCTTCAATGTTTAAAATAGGTCTTGCATGTTTAGGCACATTTTGTCTTCACTTGAATTTGAAGCATCATTTGAATACTCAACAGTGTAAACACTTTGATGACCATTTTCATTCTCATTATCAACACCAGAATAGCATAAAAGACTTTTATCATCACTTTCATATAATACATTCAACTCTGTTGGGAGGACTACTTCTAATTTTTACTAAATTCAAATATGTACTATGGTGTTGGTGTACGAGATCACTGCTATACTTACTGGTTTGGCGATGCGGTTTTCTTACCGGTACTGCTGAGAGGGGCGAAAGCATCTTAAACAATCTACACAAAACAGTATCGACGCACGACTCGAGCAGTTAAAGAATCTAATAATAAACTGTGTGGCATTCTAAGACAGTTTTTGACATGTTTAGAGACATCAAAGTGTACAATGGCACATGAAATGAATGATGTCTCCTGGATGTCATTGTATGTCATGGGGTTGAAACATGATTAAGGAGAGTATGAAGATTTGTTATTTTTTCACTGCTTTATGGTTATTTTGTTCTGTACATTTCACATTATGTATTTAATTGCTTTGATATCCTTATACAAAGCAATGTTAACAAAACTTTCTTCCTCATTACTTTCCACTTTACCATTGGGATTCACTACAACTGGCTCACCTTTGGCTTCCTTTATTGATTTAGTAAGTTTTGTATTCAAAAAAAATTTTTTTAGCCCCAAATTTTGCAAAACCATGTAGGCGGCACTATCACTAATCTCTTTATAAGATTTGTTCAGAGGACCTTCTCTTAGGCAGACAGGAAGTCTCTTAGGAGGTTTTTACTACAATTAAATGAATAAATAAATAAGCTTATTTGGGCACTTTTTCTCTTTAGTTTTTAGAGTTGCCAGTGTCGATATCAAAATGATATACTTAATGGCCATTACATTTCTATTATCTTCCATAATAACAAACAAGTTTAAAATGTTAAAAAGAACCAGTAACAGAGTATAGAGAGGGAAAATTGATTCCTGTTTGGCATTCAAGCCTGTTTACCAGTGAAGATGGTAACCTAGCTATGTAGGTTTTGTAGAAATGGGAGTTCTCAGATTTTTTTTTTTTTTTTTTTTTGAATGCAGCATCTTGCATAGCTATAGCAGTGGTTTAAGAATTCTGAAATTAAAATTGTCTTAAGAGATATGACACTTTACCTCTAGATCTAGGCAATGTCTCACTAATTCCTCCAGATGGGCGGCAATGCTTAGGTACTGCAGGAGCAGCCTCATTCTCAGAAAGTGATGCCCTGTCTGCTCGTTTCCATTTTGACTGCAAAAGGAGTCCTTCATTTAAGACAGTAGCAAAATTCTTCCGGCTCTGCACCTGGTTTTTTTTTATAAAAATGCATAATTGAAAAATAATAATAATAAATAGTCAATAAGCACTAGAAATTCTGTGACTAAATCATGTAGTGTTCCTTAGCTGCAACAGTAAGTATTTAAACAGTATTTAAACCTAAGCAAGTATTTAAACAGTATTTAACAATATTCACCAATTCTAAAATGCTTACCCTAACTTTACTAATCATATTACCAAAAGAATTCTTTTATTTTACAGAGGTATGCACAGAAGCTAAAAATCTGAAACACAATTAATTATTGCATATCTCTGCAGATAAGACGACCATCAAAAAAAGACAAGGTATAAATTTTTGTCAAAGTTTTATAATTTTAGCATATACCTGTAATAAAGGATGATTCCCAAACCATGAACAACCTATGACTTTAGATCAGTGATCATCATCTGGAACATTTTTTTTTCTTGCATCTAGCAACACTGCCTATAGAAACCTACATCTAATCATGAACTCACATGTACCTCTAATAGGTTTACTTTCTTGCATTTGGCAACACTGCCTACAGAAGCATGTGCCAAACCACCAACTCACATGTATCATTAACACATTCTAGTATAGGTTGTGGCATGTGTTCAAACAATTTCTGCTGTAAGTGTAATTAGCATAAAATTTGTAAAGTGTGGGCCTAATTATCGAAGCAATGAAAAGAAGGATATATTAAGCAAGATTTAAGCTAAAAACTCATAAAACAGGCTACTAGGGAAGAACTAGGAGAATAGAACAACTGCATTGCAATAACGGCTTTTGATATAACTGAGAAGATGGTAAGAAACTGCAGAAAGAATGAAGAGGCTATTAAAAAAATTCCAATGAAAAAATATTCTATGAGGAGAGGAATAGCTCGCTGGACAGATTTAAATGTTGCAGAATGAGTACAAGAACAAAGGCAGAATTTTTATGCTGTTACAAGAAATATGATTAGGGCTTATACATTGAGATGGATATGGGCCAATCCAGAACAAGGCAAAGAATTTAAAGCAACAATAGGTTAATGCAGTTGTTTCACAAACAGAAAAATCTGGTAATATGACAGAAAACAAAAACTGCGCAGAAAGTACCGCAAGATCTTGACCACAAAGTCATTATTTTCACAAGTTTGTTACCAGTATGAGGCAAAAATACAACTTTACATTATCTAATACTGGAAATAAGGAGAAAACACTGATAAACTTTGACTTGATAAACAATAGAACAAAAGGTGTAAAAACTGTTCAAAAGCAAAAATACAGATCAGGAAAGACCAGGCTTACAGTAGTATTAACATACATGGCAGATAGAACAAAGTTAAAAAACCCTGATAAATTTCAAGAGGAAAATTACTCCTAAAATAAAATTCCTACCAGGCATTTTCATAAAAAGTGGTGATAGATGAGAATGGTATAAAACTGTGGATGGAAAATGTGTGTCAGAGGCGACTAGGTGTTCTACCAAATCAACACAGTTTGCTGGTGCAAGGTATGTTTCCCACAGTCACATAACTGACAATACAAAAAATTACTTAGCACAGAACAATACTATGCTTTCTGTTACACTGGATAGTTTACCTTCAATGCTATCATATCTCTCTGAATAAACCCTTCAAAGACCTGCATGATGAGTGGTAAAAAGTTGTATATAAAGGGCAAGAGCTATGTGGGCTTCATCACTTGATGTGCTGTGTAATTTTGGATCAAATCATGAGAAAAAGTAAAAGTGGAAACAGTGATCAAATCCATAAAATCAAATACGGGATTTCTAATGCTATGAATGGCACTGATGATGATTTGTAATGGGATACTAATGGTACAGATTGGATGAAATACTAATGTGATATGCTATGGGTATTAATGATATAGAAATCGACTCACTAGATACAGAATGAGACGCATATGATGAACTTCTCAACAATGAAAATGATGTGCTTGGTGATGCTATTTGCCTTGAAGGATTTTGTAGGATTTTAAAGACATTTTTAAGAGAAAATTTGTTTATTTTATAACGTTTTAATTTATAAAAATTTCAATCTATTTTTTTTTTTTTTTTTGTATCAGTCTTATAAAATGACCCTATAATCTACATTATCTTGTATTTCATATAAGTTACAAAATGGTATTATCAATAAAATTTTTTAATGAATAGGACAATTACAATTGAAACTGTCTCATTATTTTGTTGTCTTTAGTCCAGGCAAAAATATTAAACAATAATAAATGATCGCATTTTAATTGCTTAGTGATGCATTTGCAACACTTAGATCACATGATGAAGTTGTGTCTTAAACTATCAATTAGTAGTTGTTGCAATGAGCCAGTATGGGTATGAATGCTAGCTGAGAATCATAGGTCTTCAGCAATTTAGAAACCACAACAAATAAAAGGTTAAATTACTTTAAGCAAATTAAACATACAGAATTGCAGATCTACAATAAATTCATGGGAATGCAACCTGAAAACTTATTCAGCATCAACCATAAATTAAAATCATTCACCTTTCATTCCAGTTAAGTCAAAGCATTACAATACTTTGAGAAAGGAAAGGTGCATAATATAAAATAAGAAGGTATGCCAGTTATAAAATTATGTGTCTTAAATGTTGAAAAAGAGGCATCACAATTATTTCCAATAACTGTTGCAAGAAATAAAATGAAATTTGTCATTTTATTTCTTGCAACAGTTATTGGAAATGAAAGTCAAGCTTTAAAAACATAATTACTGATTTTAAAAAATAATTAATGCAAAACTCAGAGGAGAAAGAATTTAATAAAAATGAAATATTTTAACTCACTTCATTTGTCTTATCTGCCTTGCAGAGACTGATTTCTTCACTGGATGAACTCTTTGTCACAAAGTCTGCAGTATTAGCATATACTGGATGAGGAACAACTAAAATAAGGTAATTTTAATTCAGTAACTGAAAAGGTATGAATTTATTTGGTACTTTATGATTATTTGTAACTATGTTTTCAATATTTTGTTTAATTACTTTGTTTGTGGAGTATTTTCAAGGAAACACATATTACTAGCCAATCCATGCATGCATATGCCACATGAGTTTGAGCATGTGCATATTTACGTGATTTACATTTAACCATCATTTCACTGAATAATAACTACTGACTGTAAACATTGGCAATATAGATTTTAAATTTTTTTCCTCATAAAATCACTTTTAAAAATGCTTTTTTTTAATTATTATCTGTGTGTAGAACAGTACTTATGAACTATAAACTGAGCTGAAAAGATGTTTTTTATCAATTCACAAAATTGTTGATGTGCTGACGACTTTTTAGGGATGCAGATGATAAGAAAGCATTATTTATTCTTTGACCTGCATAAACAACATACAATAAACTATTTTATTTGATAACAGGAGAGATAGCTACTTCAAATTGCATGTGAGAATAAAATCTAATCAATTTAGTGAAATTCTAGCAAAGTGCTATATTTGAGAGACCATAAGAAATATTTTTCATCTTAGAAAAGTAAATGTAAAACTGGTAAGCATTTTACTCTTTGTAAGCAGATCCTAAGAAGGAATTCTGAAATTTTATGTAATCCATGCACACAAAACACAATCATTAATAAGATGCTAAAAAAAGCATAACATCAGCTGTAATTCCTAGAGACCTGACAAGTTTGTTACAACCCTTAAATTCATTAATTAATAAATCATTTGAAGATAGCCCCTTTTTTTTTGAGAGAAGAGAGAACATTGGAACTAATTAACGGTGAAGTCAAAATATAATTTTGTAGCAAAGAGGGGGAAAAAAGAATTGTGTACCCAAGTGAAAAAATTTGCAATGAATTATAAAACAGGAAATAACTAGTCCATTTTCAAATTTTGCTTACATATGCTGTCCCAGAAGAAAAGAAAGGAAATTCGAGATAACTTATATTTAAAGTTGAGCAATGCATTACATAAAGGTTGCTATAACTATATTTCTACACTTCAAAATATAAAAAAAATAATTGAAATTTTTTAGCTATAAATCTTAAAATGTGTGATCGTAGGCAAAAATGCCTGCCGCTTTCATGTTATTCAACCTCTTTGTTTTTTAATTTAATTAATTTTTAAATAAAGAAGTTTAATTTTTTAAATATGTATTAGTGTGTTACATTCATGATAAAAATTAATTACAGAAGTTTCTTCCTTTAACAAATCAATATAAAAAATAATTTGTCTAAAATAATATCAATATATCGAACTGAGCACCCTCACACACTGAAGCCACAGCTACAGCCCATCAATGAAACAATCAATCTCAACACACAGGGCTCCCAACCACCCCTACAAAGTGGGCTTAATCACAACAACCAATCGTATCTTCTCAGAAATACTTAAGAGGGTAAAGTGCAGCAATCTCAAGAGCCACTAAATATTGCAAATTTGAAAGAGTGGGAATTCTTGAATTTAGTGCATGGCAACTTGTTTGTGCTAGTGGCAGAAAATTTGACTACCATGTACCAGACTTGGGATCGAATCCCAACATCATTATCATCTTCAAGGGCATGCAAAACTCATGAGCTGCTGCACTTCTCATTGGTGCTAACAGACGGCGACACGAGCAAGTAACTACATACCTGAAACCATCAAGGTGTCTTGCACCATGAGGTTGCAACAAAACCTAGCACTGTTAGCAACAGATGGAGTAAATGATTTTTTTAAATTGAGCTGAGAGAAGACTTAACAGCTATTTTGACTTTCATAAGGTCAGAAGTTGATGGCTTGGAGATCGAATGGCGTAGGCCTAAATTTATCACTATCAAGATTTCATCAATGTACGTGTGTTTGTCCATGCGTTTACTCCTGATAAAAAGGGACTTGCACCTGTTTGAAATCAGCTGGATTCTTGACTAAATCTATGCCAAGTACAAGGTTGTTGCTCTGCTAATTTTATCTTTTACTACATACCTGTATTTATATTATTAATGAAAAATAGCATTATGTAACATAATGCTATTTTTCATTAATATCAAAAGTTTATATAAAGCTTGTATATCAAATTATATTCAGTCCCAAGTTCTACTTTCGGAAGTGATTGCAACCTAATTTCAAAAGTCCTGAACACTAATGTAGAGTAAAAATCCAACATAATTTCAGTCACTTCAGAATATTAATGTGATCCACATATATGCATGCATACACAAATATTTTCAAACGACATCATTATCGATACAAAAAGTATAATGCTTGTTTTTCAAATGTTAATTCATGTTTGACTACATCATTTCACAAAGTTATTTATCCTTTTGACTTCATAACCTCTGTTAAAATACTTCTCAGTTTTTTTTTTAATTAAAAAAACACAATAAGTTCCCCATGTACCACACAGTATCACATGGGGCTTACAGAAGTAAGTATGAAACACAATACAAAATAAACAGAAGAAAAAACTGAAATAAAATTAAGGATGATTACAAAGTTTCACAATAAATTGACAAAAAGTGTTAAAAGCACTTCTCTCGGAAATAAATTGATAAAATTCCGGAGGCCAGTTAATATTTAAGTTTTTCAATTCCAGTTTCAAGACTTTAATTTCATTCTTATATTTAGGACATAGAAAAAGCACTGTTCAACATTCTCCTCTCCACCGAGGCTACAATCATAGACAGACTCGGAGCTCAACTTAATTATTCAAATAACTTTTGAAATGAAATTTCCATGGCCAGTAAGAAATTGGGTTAATTTATAGTCTGTGAAGAAGTGATGACATGAACAATCTCATCTTGATAGAAGGGAAAATCTCTTTGTTAAGCTCCCTTTATTTGAATTAATGAATTCGTGGTTCCACGACTCCACAATACTTTCATACATGACCTTCTTATAAAGAGAATTAGGAATATTGACAAAAGTGTCAATTTCCCGCTTAGTCGCAGCCTTAGCAAGGAAATCGGCTCGTTCGTTCCCAGCAACACCTGTATAACCACGAACAAATGAAAATGCAACCAAAATATTTTTATCTTTTAGGTTTCTCAGTTCTTTCTGAATCACAATAATTATATTATTAGAAGAAGAAATACATTTTAAGATCTCCAAGGATGAAAGGGAATCAGTACAAATGAGATAGTCTGAAACAGCACTATTTTGTTCAGAAAACCATTCGATGGCGAAGTTTAAGCCCAAAAGTTCAGCTATGAAAACAGTACATTCATCTCTAATTCTAAATTGAAAGTGCTCAAATTCAAGACCATTTTTGAAGACAACAAATACTTCTCAGGTTTAGCTTGCTTTTAAAAGAATGAAAGGAAGTGCTGCATTTATATTTTTCTTTGCTAACAACTGATTCAGATTGATTACCCAGAATAAAGACAATAACTTTTTCCTTAACTAGTGATGACAGCAAAACTGAACTTTTATGGGATCAAATCAGAACCATTCAATAATTGAACTGACTTTTTACAACTCACTTCTCACTACCAATAACTTTGATGAAAAACATCAAAAATGAGAAGTGAATCAAGAGTGTGAATATGAAGCAAAGAATAAAAACAATGAAATTAACAGTAGGATTTGAAGAATCAACTCAATCAAATGCTAACTTCCAGAACTGCTCTCATCTTTAGTTTGAGATTCCCTAAAATTCCTTTTGACACAAAACTAACCATAAAATTCTAGAATAAAAAAATAATTTTCAAAAAGTTGGGAAATGACAAAAATTAAACTCGCTTCTAACATGGGAGAATAAACATTTTCTTCATAAAGAAACTAGAAAAGAATGGTTCGTGGAGGGTAAAAAATTTTAGCATGCTGTACAACTTTTCAATAAATTATGGCTGAAATCTTTACAAAGAGAGTTTTGAAATGGACTTTTGATCGAAGAATTTCACGTGTAGTTTCATTTAAGAAAAACAATAATTCTACTTTCAACTTTATCCCACTTTTCCTTATTTATTTCCCACTTTTCAGAGTGGCTAGGCTATTAATGTTTTATACTTTGCTATAATATCACCCATATAATTCAATGCATTTCCAAACCTGTGTCCACGAAAGCAAACTAAAAAAAAGATTTACTGAATTCTGTCAATACTTGGTATTTATGTTATCCTTCTTCTTTTAGCTTAAGCAATTCAGCCTAAAAGTTTACAATAGTAGTTCTTATTGTTTCTGTATAATTTCTTCAAAGTAATGGAAACAGTTATTTCACCATTCAGAACAGGATTCATGTCATTAAATTTCATGAAAACAAAATTCTTTAGAATAGCTTTTTTTTGTATATTATCAGCACATTCTAAATTTGACTCCTTCAAAACATACTTAAAACTTTTTTCCTAATGGTCAACATTTCCAGAATTCCTAATAATTTTTGTAGCATCTGCACCAGAATTAAAGAAAAAAAAAAAAAAAAAAAAAGATTAATTATTATGGAAATTAATCTTCTTCCTGTGAAGATTCTGTAGCCATACAATGGTACATAAGATTTCTCAGAACCAATTAAAAAATCAGGAATTCAGGCCCTTGTACACTAAAAAGTTCCATAAAATTAAACTGGTAAATTGTAATTACTTACCTTGATCTGGTGGAGTTCTGTTAAAATCTGGTAAACTTTTATTGGGCTCATTATGTAACTTATCATATTTAGCTTTAATAGAGGCTGATTTTTCAGGAACAGATGGTTTTGGCCTGCTGCTGTCATCAGTTCTAGGTATAAAAAAATAATATTCAGATGAAATTTTTAAAGTATTATAGTCAACTCCCAGTTAACCATTTGTGAATTAAACGAATTAGCAAATGATGCTACAGTATTGGAAAGTTGACAGTAATTTAGACAGGCAGTAATTTAATTTAGCAGAATCTAGGTTATATAAAAATATTACAGTAAAAAATAATTTTTTTTAACCAGCATTTTTTACAGAAGTTTGTATTCACTGAGATTCAAATTTTCTTGAAAATAGTGCTCTTTATTGCCATTTATAATTTAGTTCCTTCATTTATGCCAATAATTATCCTTCTATTATACTGTGAGTCCTATTTCTTTACAAGATACTAAGTTACTTATGTAACCAAATGAACTTATTCTCCATATTATAATGCTTGAAAATACAAGTAAACTGTTAATAATATTTTTCTTTCAATTACAATATGAGTTATTCCCATTTCTTGTACCCTCAAATTAACTATCATTTTGAATTAATTATGGAAGTTATCTCTGATATTAGCCTGGTGAACTGAGAGCTAACTGTACATAATTGAAAACTGGCATTAATTATAGATTTCATCAACATAAATCTAGATCTTAGAGGAAATAATATTCCTTATAGCATTAATCAAAATTGACATTAACGTCTTAGTTTAATTTCAAATAGATTTTTAATTAAGAATAACTGATATGTTATTCACCATAAAACCAGAAACGGTGGCAGAATATGTTCGCACCAAACGGCAGAATTTAGGGAGGACGAAATTTTGGGAAACACCGAGCGGCAAAATTATGGGGTGAGAAGTTTTTTACAATTTAAGGAACTGATATTGTGAAAAGAAAAAAAAAAAAGTACTGGGATCTAAAGTTTAGGCACGGTGAAAATTTAGAACTTAGGAAAGAAATTTGTAGAATTTAGGACCCGTAGAGACTGACTGCACCAGGCAGTATCGAGCGCCGGCAGTATTTTTATAAATTATAAAGCCTTAAGTATATGTGGGAGTTTATTTATTCAGGATTCAGATTAGTTTTAAGCATGTGCCAGAAATAAACGTAGGTATAGTAAATAACTAATACAATTCAGGCTTAATTCAGTATGCAATAAGAGCAAGACAACATTTAGCGGAACAACTTGGCTTTTGTCGTCAATCTTGTGATACACAGCCAATAATGTAAAATGGACGCTATTAAGCTAACTGATTCTAAGGCATTTCAGTTAATGTAGCAGACTGTGCAGCTTCCTAATCTTCTGATTTGATCCAGCTTATTATTTTTTGTAGACTGTTATTATTACAGAAATTTTATAAAAAATAAGCTTGAACTTTTGATTATGTCGAAAAGAGCTGGAGCTGCCAAAGGATCTACAAAGCGAAACTATGTTTCGATCTCCATTAAACAAAAATTGGAATTGCTGCAAAAAATGGATAATGGTATATCTGTCTCAAAATTATGAGAGGAGTATGGGATTGGAAAGTCAACTGTATATGACATAAGGAAAAGGAAATTTTTGTGGAAGCAACTTAAACAACTTACATTGAAAGAAATGTTTAATAAAGTAAACAATTAAAAATTAAGCTTTTTTTTTTTTTTTTGTAAATTTGATACCCTTTAGATCATGATTGTTCTTTATTTCATAAATTATGATTTCATATTTTTAACTGTATAATTTCTGCATGCCATCTTAGCATATTTAAATTGATGATCTAATATCCGGAAAAATCCCAAATCCGGAATAGCTGAGGTCCCAACGAGTCCGGGTTTCGGACTTTGCACTGTATTAGGATTAAATAAAATAACAGTAATATTTTGCCAATCAATTTCAACCATCAATATTTTCCCAATTTTTTATTTATGGAATCAAATTAACTATCAGTCGGTCTGAATTTGTACACCAGATGACACAAAAATTTCTTCAACAGCAAAAAATTTGATAAATATTCTTGGTTTATACATGGAAATGTATCATAATTTATATTTAAACATATTCTGCCAAAGAAAACTGCCTACAAATTTTATTAAAATGATATGAAATAATACTTGTTGCTAAATATCATTATGAAGTAAGGATAAAATAGTAAGCAGAACATTCATACAAGTAAGACTTATGTTTTATAAATTTATTTCAATTCATAATGAAAAATATAATTGTATCTATTATTGCTGAATAAAATAAAGAAATCACATATCCATTATCGCCATATTCATAACTTTACAAGGAAGATTTTCTCATGTTCAAAGATTTAAAATGATTACCTCTCAGGCAAGGATGGTCGACTGTAAATAGGGGTCCCTGGCTGACTGCTGCAATTTCGATCTTTGAATTTACTCCCAAATGATTTAAAGGTTCCTACTGTGCAATAATTTGTCCTAAAATCAGAACTCTGATCAAGAGGTAAAAATGTATGTACTGTTAAAGCAGGTCTATTATGGCTGGACTTCTCATAGGCTAATTGGATGAGAAAAAATAAATTATGTGTGACCATTTAAATAAATATGAATATAAAAAAAATGTTAAACCTCAAATGCAGAAAAATGAAATCAAATTATATCTAATTGTATACAACCACCAATACTAAATTTTTTTCTTAAAACTTATGCATCATAACACAAAAGGTATTATGAGTATCATAATACTACTTAAAGAAAAAGGAAAAAAAAGTGATAAAAAAGGAACATTTTTCATTAGCATACATCTAAATCAATAACAATTACTCTCAATATTTTTCTTTCTAAAATTTCCTTTGCACCATTAAATCTGCTAAAGAAACAAACTTCTTCCTAAATGGCAACAAAGGCAAAAAAAGTAACTATTTTTTAACAATTATAAGGTATAAAAATCTAAACTGTACATAAATATATAAAAAAATAATATATTTTATTGGCATGATAATATTTATCTGTCCCTTTTTGTGATGTAATTTCTCATCACATATTTCCCTTTACCAAGTTTTGCATCTTAAACTAAAGCAAAGTAAGTTGCATAAAAAAAGTAAATGGGTTTTTTTTATTGTTAATATTCTGACTCTGAATCTTTAATATACTATTATAAGTGTTATTCAGCTCAAAGATTTCAAAACAAGCATCTAATTTGATGATTTCAAAACCACATTAAAAAATTAAATGTTTACTTGTTTCATTTCTATCTGGATGCGACAAAGGTTTTCTGCCAAAAAAAGTTAGAAAAAAAGTTAGAAAAAAAAAAAAAAAAAAAAAACATGCAAGCAATACTTTTAGTGCTGGTAGTAATCAAATGTATGATTTTCTGTCAAAATTTTGGTAGTTTTTTTAAAGCCTTCAGCCCAGAAACAGAATCCAAAAACAGATGAATCTCATTTCAGATGTTCTGTGCAGCATGCACCAGCAATATGTAGCTGCAAGTGTGGAAAAAGAAGTCCGAAGGAGCGATTTTGGGGCTATATAGTGGGTGTGGCAAAAGATCCCATTTGAGTCCATACAAGAGTCTAACCGTTGAATGCAGATACATGTGGTCTTGCATTATCTTGATGGACCATCAACTTTTTGTGCCAGAACTCAGTTCGATGTTTTCCTTGATAGCAGCATCTTTATGAACTAGCATCTCACTGTACACCTTACTGTCGAGGATTACCTATATTCTTTGCGTATAATACCATGGCAATCCCACCAGATACAAAGCATGATATTTTTGTTTGTCAAATTGCTCTTTACGATGCTGTCGATGGGCTCCCCAGGCACAGACCAAGCCCCTTTTCAGCCTTTGAAGTAAATCTACTTTTCATCACAAGTAATAATCCAGTCCAGAATTTTGTCTTTGCATTGATATTAGAGCGGATTAGTGCAGGCCTGAACACGTCTGTTCTTATCTGCTTGTACAATAAGTTGACTTGTACGTTAAGTTTATGCAATGCACAGCACGACTAATGGACATAACACTAACATCTAACTCCTTAGCAAGCTCTTGAGTTGTTGCATACTGATCGTCTTCCACAAGTTTTTGCAGGCAGGCCTCATCAACATCAGTAGGCCGGCCAGAGCGCTCTACTTCTTGAATGTCATAGTCTTTGTTTTTGAATTTTTGATACCAAACCTTCACACTGTCATATATATATACAACATTAGTATTTAAAGTGTTACACATGATTTGGTGACATTCCGTAGTTGCTTTTTTGCAACAGAACTCTTAAGTAAATGATGGTTCAAATATGGTAGCGTGACAGTTCCATTTCAGACACCTTGTACTTAATGACAGCTTTTTTATTTATTTATTTATTATTTTATTATTATTATTATTATTTTAAATTTCACAATACAGTGTTCTAAAGCAAGTCTCTCTTTCAAATGCCAAAAATTGTTTCACAAAGTATGATTAAACACGTTTGCGCAGTCAATATTTACAGTGATGGGAAACTTTTGTTAAAACCTGATACTTGTATACAAATCAGTTTGGATAACATTTTCATACTTTTAAGATAGAATTTCTTCCTAAGCAGAAAAAAATGTGTTGTTTCATTAAATATTTACATTATTCTCTGCATACAGTATTTACTGATAACGTAAAATAATAATTTGTACTTATTGCAGAATTACAAACAAATCTAGAAAAGTTACTATTTGTTTATTTGACCAAACAACAATTTGAAGAGAGTAGAACAGATTCCTTCCACATTTTGCATTTAATTAGCAGTACAATAATAATAGAGAGAGACATAACAAGCAATAAACACTTTAATGTTTTAGCTGGGAGTTTCTTATTATTTCCATTAGATTTTATGTGTTTCCATTCAATACTTTGGTTTTATTTTTTTTTTTTAAATATCAATTTAATATAAGTGCAACAAAAGGCATATTTATGAAGTTGCACAAGTCTACAGATACAGGCTAAAACAAAACTAGCACCAGTACATCTACCCGAGCATAATAGTCACAGTTGACAGTACCAGAGTTCCAAGAAGCTCTTAAATTCTGAATTTCCTATTTTTTTAAAATAGCAAATATGCCATGTGAACTAAGATGAGGAGTCCCAAGAGATAAAACAAGAAGTGACCAGGGTCTACCTTTAGTAAGCATTTACACCATTAATTTAGTTTCTAGGAGGAATGAAAATCTAAAGCATTAAAAAATAAAATAAAATCCTGGAATAAAAGAAGAAGAATTGAACTGAAAATTAATGAAATAAAAAGAAACCATTAAAAAACATATTCAGGCAGCAGTACCTTTTTCATTTAAACTAATAATCTCAGAGTACTATAATTTTAATTTTTCCTCTTCAATCTCTCCCTGCTCTCCCCCCAAAAAATCCTTATTTAAAATAATTCTTACCAGATGAAATGGTATGAGGCCTTTGGTATTTGTTTAAAACAGGTGGTTCTTTTTCAGGAGGACCTGTTTCTTGTAAATTTGGCCATGTTGATGTAACAGAAGGTACTGGAGAAGAAGGGGTACTAAGAGTTGTAGAAGTGAGCTCTTGAAATGCGGACAACTAGAATAGGAATATACACTAAATTACAAAACCAATAACTTACTGTCTCAATTTTTTTTAAATTGGTATAGTTTTTAAAATGATCTAAATATTTCTATTTATAAAAACTTAATAAAAAAACTCTTCTAAAATAGCTACATCTTACACCATGGTCTACAGAGGTGGTCAGTAGATTTTATTTTAGCAACCACAGGTCACAGACACACACCTCCAATTACAAAAATGTTTTAAATGGCACAAATATTCATGTTGTGGCATTTTTAAATTGGAAAAAAAAAAAAAAAAAAAAAAAAAAAAAAAAACCCGTTTTGGAAAAAAATAGGAAATCTTACTTTTTATATGCTATTCAGCCTGTACTCTTAAGTCAATAAAATCTTATGCTCATTTTAAAAGCACAAACTCCCATATGACAAAAATGACCCAAATAATTAACTTCAAAATCTGTGATTTTTGACACCATCTTCAATTTGCATTGAGGGGTCAGTTAATAAAAATAGAATAATTTGAGATTGATTTATCATCCTTTGAATGTTTTTCAATGATATTTTTTTTTGTGAGTTACTACAGCCTTTAATTCAAAATTTTGTCACATTTGGTACACTGAAAGAACTTTCACATAAGTAAGTCTAAAAATACATTATTAATATTCGTTTTGTAACTTCAGAATCATAAACACACACAAATTCATTCAAATACAAATATTTATTATTTTTAATACATGCAAATAGCATTACAAATTGGCTACATGCCAGTACTGAAGACTGCAAGTGTTTCCTAGAACACAAATGCTATAAGATTCTGCTAATAATATTTCCATTTTGAAAAACTATACACTGATCAATACTTCTCAGAATGATTTGCATAAAAGTGCTTATCACTTAATCTTGTAACACCAGAAACTTTCTTTCAAACCTAACACTTTATTTTTAGTTATGAACAAATGTAATCATTTCACTCCTTAATTTGCTTAAAGTTCCTGAATATGATCCTCAACTTTAAATTCAAATACCTTGGTCAATTTTTTTTTCATACTGGAGTCGCACTTCTTATTTATTTATTTTTTATTTGCTATAATGAGTACAAAATTTTACTAAATATAAGTATATAAACCAAAGGAATGCATAAAAAATTATATTTCTTATTTTTGCCAAATTCACTTTTTTTAAATTAAAAAATGCTAAAACAAGAATAGTTCAATCCTTAACAACATTTTTATAATTGGAAGTATATGTTATGATCAGCTGCTGTGAAAATAAAGGCTGGGTAAGGACTTTTGTAGACATGGTGTATATAATGAATGCAAGGTATATTTATATGCTACATACATTTATATGTGAGGTTGTTAGTAATTTCATGAAACGTTTTTGGAATTCATAATAAATGAATTACAATGTGACATCAAATTTATGATAAAAATAAAGGCACAATCACACACAATATTTTGTATGATGATGTTTTTGCTTGTATTGTCTTCTCCAAGATGTTTTCAGCAGACACCCTAAGGGAAGTGGGAGTAGTTTTATTTTAAATAGCTAGAAATTTTTAGAGATTACAAGGTGATAATAACTTGTAACAATACTAATCTTAAAAAATGGCCAGAGATGCTTTTAGGTAGTATGTTCAGCAACTTCTGTCCATTTCAATCCTCTAATGAAAATCTTCCAACCCCTTTTCCTAAAAGAGTGTAGCTTTATACTTTTCCAATTATTAGTCCTAACTGCTTAGCTATTTGAATGATTCTACATTTTCTAGTCTTAAAACATACCACTGACATTTCAAGCCTGAGCACAGATGGAATATACAGTGGATGGACAAAAATATGGAAACACCTTGTGAAATGCATGTTTGAAAAGAAAGATTGATTTTAATGAAATATGTAGGTGGCGCTGGCGTTTTTGACTACTGACGCCACCTATACAACTTCGTAAATGTGCTAAACAGTTCAGTTGTTGTCTGAGTACTGTTATGTGAGGTTGTCATTGCATTATGTCAGAGTTAACAGACTTCGAACGTGGGCAAATTGTTGGAGCACGTATGGTAGGTGCTTCCGTAAGCAAGGTAGCCGAGGTGTTTAGTGTTTCAAGAGGTACTGTATCGAAGATTTATTCCGCATATTTGAAAAGTGGAAAAACATCATCTGCTAAATCACAGCGCGGACGAAAGTGTGTCCTGAGTGATCGTGACAGACGATCATTAAGGGCAATTGTGACGAAAAATAAGAAGACCACAGCTGCAAAAGTTACTGCTGAAATGAATGTTGTGTTACCGAAACCCTGTGAGTACCAAAAACAATTAGAAGGGAGCTTCATAAACAGGGAATTGCTGGCCGTGCTGCAATTGAGAAGCCACTTATCAGTGATGCTAATGCCCGTAACAGGAAAAGGTGGTGTTTAAGTCATAAAGCCTGGACTATAGAGCAGTGGAAGCGAGTAATATGGTCTGAAGAGTCTTCTTTCACATTGTATGAAGCACATCATAATGCGCTATTCAAAATTTGTTACACTCATTCAGGTGCAAGTTTTTTTCTCTTATATGTATTTCAAATGCTTAACGTCGTCACCTTTGTAAATGCAGCTAATACCTATGTGATAATATATTTCTTCCTATATGTATATGCATCATAGCTGACCTATACGCATCATAGCTGACCAGATAGTTGAGCAAATTTTGATTGAGGTACCCTTGTATGTTTCTACCGTAACAAGCCAGACAATCATTTTATTGAAAAAATAATCATTACTGTTGTCATTCAACTGTTTTATAATATATCCAAGTTTCTCATTGCCAATTTTTTTAAATGTCCAAGCAAATCATTTTAATGGCATAGGTTTTGCAAAGAAAATGGTCTATACACTTTGTCTCCTGAAATTGCACTTAAGATATTTTAGGTGTAAATTTTCATATTTTCTATAACAACTTAAAAATCATCTGTCATACAAATGGCACAAGTTACGATGCTTCAGTTTTCTAGAACCGCAAGAAAGTTTCTTCCCAACTAAAGGTCAACAAATCATCAGAACCCTTTAACTCAATTTTCTCTTGCATTTTATTAAAGAAATTTAAACTATGCCATTAATGCTGAGATGCTGATGCATGTATTAAATATAAATATTTCATGGTACTACTTCCTAGAAGTGATACATATTATTTGGGGGGGGGTACAGAAGAAAATAAAAAAATACAATAAAAAACTTATGAAAAACAGTATTCTGTGCACTGAAGCAATAAAAGGAAGGAAAACTAATTAGTTAAATATTCATAATATACATAATAAGAGGAACACGGATGTAAAAATAGTTCATACTCTTGAATTTTAGCAAAAATGTATTTTCAACTATGTTTCATATTTTTTAAACATTAACACTAGAATTATGGCAATGGTCATTTTGACCATATCTCCATTTTTTTAATTGGGCATAACTTTTTTAATTCTTTATTTATAACTTTCATATTTTTTTACTTTTTCTAAAAACTTAAGAATTTTACATGACAATTATTTTTTTGTGTATATTAAGGAATTACTTTTGACAGTATTATTGTTAATACCTAAAATTACGGCTATCAGTTATTTTGACAGTATCCACAAAGTTATAGATTCCTCAATATTTTTATGACTTTTTTAGCTATTTTCGGTTTGTTGATAGATAAACAAGCATACTTTTGATAAAGAAGATTGCATATTTAACAGCAGTGAATGGGGAATAAAAACAAATGTTTGGAATTTTTGCGCACCACGTGTCTGCACATTTTGCTTGTGTTAGAAAGTTTATTTTTTATAGACACAAATATCCTTTACTTCATTTGGATATTTTTGTTGTTCTGATCTGTTTATCATGTCACGTAGAAGTGTTGGTAGAAAATACCTAATGAAGGAAGGGATGCTGAAAGTTTTTAAAAGTCTTTCTGATGATAATTCTGCTTCTGAAACTGAACCTGACGAAGAGTTTCATACTAAAACTACATTCAGTTTATCCGATGAGGACTGGATTGTTTCTACTGAAACAAATGAATCTGATTTGCTTGATGGAGAACCTGTTCATGAAACAGAAAAGAAAAGTAAAAATTTAGATCAAGATCATAAAGACTGCAAAGTGATCCCTTGTTCTAGATATTTGGAACGGTTTTATAGAAAACTGTTTGAAATGTTATAAACCGGGCAAAAATATAACAGTGGATGAACAATTATTTCCCATGAAGACCCGATTCCAATTTATTCAGTATATGCCTAAAAAGTCTGACAAATTTGGCATTAAATTTTGGCTTTCTACTAATGTGCAGTCAAAATATTTACTGAATGGATTTCCCTATTTGGAAAAAGACAAAACCAGACCAGCTAGAGAGACAGCAGGTGAACACGCAGCTTTTCGCTTGATGGAACTGCTGAAATTAATAAAACAAATGAAGAATTCAGGGATAAGCTGCGTTGGCACAATAGATCATTCAAAAAGAGAAGTACCTTATTTCTTCAAAAATACGAGGGATGAGCTCTGTTCTAGTAAGATTGCTAAACATGACAATATAACGTTTACGTCTTACCAAGTTTAAAAAAAAAAAAAAAAAAAAAAAAAAAAAAAAAAAAAAAAAACCTCATGCTCCTGAGTACCATGCACCCAACATTAGAAATCGCATCAGATGAAAAAAATATACCAGAAGTTGTGAATTTTTACAATTTGATCAAATATGTAGTTGATGTTTTGGACCCAATGGTGAGAAAATACACAGCAAAATCCTCATCCAGCAGTTGCTCAATCAAGTTTTTTTTAATATTCTTGATTTGGCTCTGATAAATATATGGATAATTTACAAGGAAACAACTGAATATGAGAATATCAGCCATTGAGATTTTACTTTGAATACAGCTGAGGATTTTGAAAGATGTACATTTCATCCAAAATTCACAAACTTTCTGTATCTAATGAAAAGTGAATTGGTATTTGCATCAACACTTCCATAAACATAAATAGTGCCAAATAAATGCCTGCAAAGGCAATAAAACTTTGAATACATGTGAATACTGTAAAAACATATATTTGTGGAACCTGTACAGGTAAAATTAAAAAAAAAAAAAAAAACTAGTAATCTGTATGCACTGCAAAACTGAGTTATGTAAGTACTAATATGCATAATTTTTAATATACTTATTTCACATTGAAAATTTTTATGACGCAATTTATTAAATGATAGGAAGTTTAAAAATATCTATAGTGATTTTTCTTCTCTTTTAGCTCTTTGTCATATAAAATTATTCTTTGATTAATTCATTTACTCACTTTAATTTATTTTGCTCTTTGTTACATTAAATTTTTATTTTGCTCTTTGTCACATTAAATTATCTTTTGGTAGTGTGTATTTACTCAATTTACTTATAAAACAAGCAAAATAATAAAGCATTAACTTTGCATAATATTAACAGAGAGTGAGCCTTTTCTTCTATTAGGAACCAGCGGTCAAAATCACTGTTGATTTTAGTTATAGGTATATGGAAAACACTCTAGTGCTAGTGTTAATCCCCTCCCCTCAACTATGAACAATCTAGCACAAATTATCTACAGCTCACAGTACACATTCTTCAAATTGTATGCAAATAACAGTAATTTTATTTGATGACTATTACATAAAAAGACTGTAATTGATAAAAGAACCAGAAGAACTGAAATGCATGTTAGAATGGATTTTATTATTAATGAAAGGCATATATTTCCAGTTTCTCCTATTTTGTTTACCTATCAACAAAATCGCCTTTAACTGTCAATGAGATATAACTTATCTGCATAATATAGCTGGATAGTGTAAAACTTAAATAAAGCAGTATGTTGCAACCAATTTGAGTTAAAAAAGTGTACATATAAAAAAAATATTATTAATTTGTGTAGCACAGACCCAGTTTTAATTCTTTTTTTTTTTTTTTTTCCTTTTTCTTTTTCAGTGAATTAAGTATTATTCAAAAACAAAGAGAAATTCATATTCATCCTTTTGCTTGGTGTACTTTGTTTATTATTCAGCTAATGCATATAATAATTTTTAAAAAAATGTGTATTTTTGCAGCTACATTTTAATACAGATAGGCTTCTTCACATTGAGATTAAAAAAGAAATTAAAGTGGCAAGAAAAAGTAATTTTATAACTTTGATTTTTTTAATGCATTTAAAGCTTTCTTATTTGTCATCCATATTTTATTTCTCCACTACAGCATTCCATAATCACTTCAGATTACAATATTGACTTACATAGTATTTCTCTGAAATTCCATATGCAAATTATTGTTTTGATAACATTCAACCATTTGTAAGAAATATCCTGTGTAGGTTTTTTAATGACCTCAGGCCAGTATTCAAGGCAAAGCTTTTTTGAATTGTTAAATAAATGCAAGTATAAAGGATTCCTGCAATTCAACAATCTATATAAAAAAAAAAAAAAAAAAAGATGGAAAAACAGGAACTCAAGAGGAAAGATGATTCAGTTAAAATAAATAATACATTGAATGAAAAAAAGGCTTTTTTGGTAATAAAATTTTTTGTCCTTCTTTTTAAAGATGTTGGAAATATGTTTATATTTGTGTCTCAAATGTAAAAAGTTTTATCCATGTCAAAATTAAATGTCATGCTTATGCATGTTGAATGATAATTCCTCAAGATGCCACACATTTCTCCTCACATACATCTGAAGCAATTCAGAGTACAATTTAGAAATTTTCAATTGATTCATATTATTTTCAACATAAGAAATGCACAAGAAGCATATTTCAAGAATTCTAAGAATGGCCAATTTTTTAAATTTCTCAGATTGCTAGTCTTTATACATATACATTTCAAGTACGTACATTCAACCCTTCAGAATCCAATCCATTAGCCATTAATACCCTGCCTGCATGGAACTGAAGAAAGGAATCAAATGGACCCAAATTATAATGATACTATTTTCAGAAATTAAATCTCAAAGGGAAGAAATGAACACATTTTTACACATATGCATATTCTCATATCTTTATTATCATGACCAGAGATTTAATCTCTGGAACTACTTCATGAGAATGGACATTTCTGTCCTCTCCCAAAAAGAGCAGTATAGTTACAATTGGCTGATAACACCATGCCCTTTTTCATGTGATCCATGCCATTATGAGATACTATATGCACTGATGACATATTCTATAACTTTCTTCTTGCTTACTTCCTTTTAAAATTTCTTATATGCCTTCATCAGTGCATATCATATTTCTTATATGCCTTCATCAGTTCATCTACCTATATCTTCAGATTTAAATTAAACAACTTAAAAAGATTTTTTTTTTTCTACATTGTCTTCAAAATAAAGAACAATGTTCGGTATGGAAATAAAAAGAACAAATAAAAAATATTATTCAAGCAATAATTAGCAATACTATTAGCATGTCTAATTCATGTATGCTTTGTGAGTAAATTTCTTCATCCTTTTCTTTAGAATTAATAAATGTCATATAATTTTTCCCTCTTAATTTCTATTAGAAAAATTACACAAGTATGATGACATATTATTACACAAGTACATGATATACAGTCAAAAGTCGTTAATTTGGACACCCATAATCCGGAATGATCTATAATCCGGACCTCAAAACTACAAACTTTCTGCGCATGCGTCAATGCGACGCATGCGCATAGGCGTTTACGTGCGCGCGTAAGACCTTTACGGCTGCGAATATGCTTGTGTGCATGCTCATAAAACATTTACGCATGCGTGTTTAATGCATAACGGACGATGTAAGCTAAGTTAAAATTATGTAATTCAGTTAATGTTGCAGATTGCGTTGTTCCTTAATCTTCGAATTGGATCCGGCTTATTATTTTTTGCAGACTGTTACAGCAATTTTATAAAAGTAAGCTTAAACTTTCGATTATATAAAAAGAATTTCCGATATATATTTGCTAATATGTAAAGGATCTAAAGCGAAATGTATGTTTCGAAATCCGAAATCTGTTTATCAATTTCACGCAGTTCGGCGGGGGGTAATGCCTCGGCGCACAATGATTTGGAAGTTGATCTGTCATCACTATCCTTATCTTCAAGGCAGATGTTTTTATTTTATTTCGCTTATAATTCCTTACTAAATGTAGTATTTCATCTTGATGTGCTCCATCTTTGATATGATTTAAAACAAGTTCCTCGTCATTATAATTCGCTTCCGATAGTGAAGAAAGTGACAGAGGTTATTGAAAACGAAAAAATTTCGATTGACAAATTAGTCGGTATTCTCGATACAGCAATTATAGGACTTGAACAGCGGAACTTTGTAACTAAACAAGAAATTATGTCTGTTTAATAGAATAAAAGAGAAAGTATTATCACATGAAATGAAGCAACTTAAACAACTTACATTGAAAGAAATGTTTAATAAAGTAAACAAATAAATATTAAGCTTTTTCTTTTTGTAAATTTTGATACCCTTTAGATCATAATTGTTCTTTATTTCATAAATTACGGTTTCATATTTTTAATTTTGTAATTTCTGCATGCCATCTTACCAGATTTAAACTGATGATCTACAATCTGGAAAAATCGATAATCCGGAATCGCCGAAGTCCCGACGAGTCCGGATTAACGACTTTTGACTGTATTATATTAGTATAACTTCAATCTACTCAGAGTGCAACCTAAATTAATAAAGGCTCAGATAAAAAGGGTTTCATTTATTTTCAGATGCTTAGAAAGTCACAAGAGACAGTAAAAATCAACAAAATCTGCAATATTTGAAAATACATCCTCATGTGTGTTTATTACTGGACATAAAAATACCACACTTCATTGAAAATATAAATAATATTTTATAACACTAACCTGTGAAGAACACTCTACAGCAGCTACCATATTATTTACAAATAATGTATCCTGAGATGTAAAACCAGAATCTTGAGATGTCACACTATTTAAATGCTTTCTACCTAAAGTCTAATTCAAAACAAATACATGGCTCAACATGCAAAAATAAAAAATAGAAATAAAAAGACAGAAATTCGTATAGTAACAACATGAAAAATTAATAACAATTCCAGAGTAACAAAAATATAATGAAAACAACTCAAGCAAAAAAATACATTGAGGTGCAAAAAGGGCAAAATGCTTCTTTAAAAATTAATAAAATAGATAGAAAAATTATATTAAAAATTCATGCATTTTGAGAAGAAAATAAATGCTTAAAAGTTTCAATGAAAAAGTATTTTATACACTAGAAATAAAATATAATTTCTTTATCAAAAATTAATTCTATTTTAAAAAAACTTTTGTGTCCCTTGTGTAATTCTTCATTTGTAACATTATTGAAGAGACGAGAAAAGAACTGCATGTAATTTACCTTAGTTGCTACACATTATATAGCTTGTTAGCTTAATTAAATTATATTATTAATTAAATTTAAACTTAGTTATTGAAAATAGCACTTGTTGTTCAGAAAATTTCTCAGAAAAATCAAGAAAATTAATTGGACCAGTAAACTAAAAGAGAAAAATTGATACTAGGTATAAAATTTATATTTAAAAATGTACCTTATTAAACACCGAGACAATTACATGACACGATGATATTTTTGAGACTTACTTGAGAATGTGAGATATGCCTTGATGAATGAGATTTTCAAACTACCACTAGATGAACTATTGATACTACTGATACTACAAACACTAGATTTCCGAGAGCCTAATGAACCAGGGGAACCTGGTGGAGTCTGTAAACATATATAAAATTACTGTAGCTTACATCTACAAGTGTAAATTTTAATTTAAATTTATTTATAAAAAAATTCTTATAAAACTATAGACATAGCTATAATAATATAACAGAAAAGAACAAATGCCACATCACACTGGGATAGGTAACATAATGGTTCGCTTATTTATTGCAACAAAGTATAAAAAAATATATATATCATAGAAAGAGATTTTTGGGTATTTTCCTGTTTAGAGACTTCCAGTTGCCATATGTGGTAGCCGGTTTATATTGCATCATAAATAGTTCTGCAGTGAATAGCAGTGCAACATTTAATGTGCATAATGCTAAGGCCATATATGCACGATACTGAATTTATGCAATTCTCTGATTTTTTTTTCAGTAAAAGCAGATGATTAGTTTTTATGTACACAGAGCTTTGTTTTCATTAAAAAAACAACAGAAAATTGTATGAAATCAGTATTATGCACATCTTTAGCATTGTGTACATTAAATATTACATACGCATATATATATATGATAGAATGACACATTACTCTTGTTTCAAGTTTATTTATTTATTTATTTATTTTTCATGAATCTTTATAAATCATTACAGTTGCTGCCATCTAATTCAACTTTATGTTAATGTTTGGCACTAAGTGGTGTTCCATAAACAGAAAAGTACCATTTTTTTATTAAAAATATCAACACAGGAATTTATCCAATGCTTTATTACTAGCATTTTATCATCCATATGGCCTAACAAGTAACCAACACCCAAAGTGCTTCTGTTTAAAATAGTATAAAATATTTTTTTTATTAACTTCATTTTAAATATCTAAATCATAATTTATAATACATTTAAATAATAAATTGTTAAGAAATATTTGCACTATCACTGTAATTAATAAAAGATCATATTTGATGCCATATATTATGTACCATATACATACATACATACATACATATAATATATATAATGTATATTTTTCTATTTATTTTCTTTTATGGTGGCATTATTTCCTTACAGATTTGTCTGATTAGAGATTATATATATATATAGATAATACAGTCAAAAGTCATTAATTCAGACCTCAAAGCTAAAAACTTTCTGCGCATGCGCCGCGTTGACACATGCGCATAGGCGTTTATGCGTGCGCATAAGACCTTTACGACTGCGCATAATGCGTGTGCGCAAGTGCAGAATACGTTTTCGCGTGCGCGTTTAATGTATAATGGATGGTATAAGCTAAAATTATCTATTTCAGTTAATGTTGATGATTGCGTTCTTCCTTAATCTTCGAACTGGATCCGGCTTATTACTTTTTACAGACTGTAAGAGCAATTTTATAAAAGTAAACTTGAACTTTCGATTATGTCAAATAGAATTTCCGATGCTGGAGCTACCAAAGGATCTACAAAACGAAAGTATGATTCGATGGCCATCAAACAAAAAGTGGAATCGCTGCAAAAAAATGGATAAAGACATGAAGAAGGTGACAGAAAGGTTAGTGAAAACGAAAAAATTTCGATTGACAAGTTAGTCGGTATTCTCGGCACAGCAATTACGTGCCTTTGAACAGCAGAACTTTGTAACTGAACAAGAAATTATGTCTGTTTATAGAATTAAAGAAAAAGTATTATCACATAAAAAGAAGCAACTTAAATAACTTACATTGAAAGAAATGTTTAATAAAGTAAACAAATAAATATTAAGCTTTTTTTTTTTTTTTTTTTTTTTTTTGTAAATTTTGATACCCTTTAGATCATAATTGTTCTTTATTTCATAAATTACGGTTTCATATTTTTAATTTTAGAATTTCTGCATGCCATCTTACGAGATTTAAACTGATGATCTATAATCCGGAATCGCCGAAGTCCCGACGAGTCCGGATTAACGACTTTTGACTGTATTCAGAACAGTCAGAGTTAATCAAGTGATAAAATATGTACTATTATTTACATACAGTGATCAACTTGGCATGATTTGGCAAATTTTTAAAGAAGAATATGAATAGTAATTTAAAATTATTTTTAGATACATATTTTATATTTTGTATGAGTATCTAGCTTAAAAGGCAATAAATAAACCTAATTAAAATTATTTTTATTTCTTTTGATATGGAGGAAATTTTGTGAGAATCACTTTAAAAACAGATCCTAACACATTGTTTCCTTTAGCGATCTTACATTAAAATACTGTATTCCTGTGGAAATTTTACAGCTCTTTCTTCTACTGCAAACAAACCCCCACAAACACATATTTCAAAACTGAATTTAAGATTAAAAAAAAAAAAAATATTCTGATTTGAACCTAAACTAAAAACTCTTGAACTTAGAATATAACAAAAAGAATGCACAAAAAATGGAAACACTGCTTAAGTAATACTAAAAGCTGAAGTATATTTAAGCACATGGAAGTATTTGGAAAATTAGGCAACTTTTACTGAGGTGGCTACATTAATACATAAGTACCTATGCATCTTTAGCTTCACAAAGAAAAAGCAGAAATCCAAAAACTCGCATTCCAGATATCTAGATTACTCAAAACACTATACAAAAAATAAAAAAATAAAATTTAGCAGACTTTTGTATGAGTAACTCTAGCGTACAGAAATTACATATGTATTCTCTCTCTCTCTCTCTATATATATATTATTAAGATGTAGCTGGCAGCTGTTTCCCCCCTACCTAATTGTAGGACGCTTATTCATCAAGCACTGGTTAGAAATGGCTAAAGCCCAACTGTCATTTAACCCTCTCATAATCAAGAATGTTCCCAGAATGCTTAGTGAGGAAGTTGACCAAAATTACACCAGCATTAAGGAGGGTAAGTTTATGTTATCGGAATATGGCAGGGCATACAATGGCTATTTGCTTGAGAGGAAAGATGTCTCTACGAAGGACTTTATAAGCAAAACTGATTCATATTTGTGCTAACCATGGGGAAGATCAAGAAAACTAACCGTGCAGCTAACCCATTCACCTTCACTCGAACTCATACTGAAATCTTATTATTTAGCAGTCTCAACCATTTCAGCCACTGGTTAAGCAGGACAAGGAGGAACAAATATCCATACTTTCTTCAGCATTCCAACGTGGAACCAAGAATATGGCCGATAGCACCACTAAATACCATACCAAATAGGGCAGCTTATGCAGCTGTTGCACCTACACAGCAAATGCAACAATGAGAATCTGTTTGATTTTTGACTTTGAATTTCATTTTTTTAGTAAAATAAATAACTTTTATAAAATGCTTTTGTTTATGCTTTTGTTATTTTTTAAGCAAATTAATGAAATGGCCAAAAAGGAAATACAGTGAAACCTCCTTAAGATGACTATCCACATAATTTTGATTTATTGTGCATCAGCACTGTTTATCACTTCAAGAAGTGATAAACAGTGCTGATGCATTGGTTATTCCAAAAGAATGATTACAGTCTTTACACATTAATCGCAGGAGTATAAATAATATTAAATTAAGATTTTGTGATGTCATGAATTTTAGAGTTACAGACATTTAAAATGAAGCCACTGGCAGTATCATTTATAATGCTCCAGAATAAGTGAACAAATTGCAGATATGTTTTCAGTAGGAGGGTAAATATAAGCAGCCTTAATTTCATGGACCCACCAGCAGCCGAGCGTTAAGGTTGCTGAACACTGGTAGTTCAGTCCAAGGTTCAAATCCCACATACAGGCTGGCTACATGTGCATTTTTGTAGTTAAGCCTTGTGTAATGTGTATATGAGCCAGTTTTCCTTAGAAAGTTCTCCACAAAGACATCACTTCCCTTAGGCAGATAGCCCTTGAGGCTTTGCCATAATCACTTAAACCAAACCCAAACCAAACTTAACTGCATATCTCATGTCATCCCATGCCATGAAAGTCTGCAGCATATTTCGTTCATTGCTATTCTCTTGTTGCTGCATCAAGCTTTCACCCATCACCTACAGTTCCTTTCTCTCAAAGCTTGGATACTTAGATATTAGCTCTACCACCTTAGTAAAATTTGAGAAATTTTCAGAATGCATCAAATGTCAGCAACCATGTGCATAATAATTTTTCAGTTTTTTAAATATTTTTTATGCAATGTCACCATTTTTATATGTGTTCAATTTGTTGTATTCCAAGTTCCAATGATTCCTGAAGATAAAACATGATATTTTTTGGTCATAATTTCAGAATTTACTTCTGTGAGATTTTAAAGTTTACGTTTCTGAGATTTTAAAATTTCCACTAGCAGAGGAGAACGCTTATATAAAAGTTTTACATTAAAGTGCTTTTCGGGATACCCAAATTAAAACATAAAATATATGTATAATAGTATGTAGGTGTGTTATGTTGTATTTGCATATTCTTCTTCTGCAAAAATTCACCAAGATGGTTGTGCTAATACATAAATACCAATGCTTCTAGTGTAATCTCTTAAGTGTTACATGTAATTGTGGAAGAGAATCAAATTTTATTATGCTTTTCAGTTTTTCAATAACATTTTCAAATTCACTTATACTGTTTTTAAGGAAACAAGCTCAGTTCTGTTATTTAATACACACTGATGCTTGTCTACTAGTCTACTGTGACACAACTGACAGCAAGAGACAAATTCAACATAAATGCAATCACACACATTCACCAAAAATAATGTAGCTTTAAATACAAAATGTCTAATCAAGTCATCTTTTATAGTTTTCATGCTATTAATATTCAAAAAGTGTAAACATTATACTTAGGGACACTTTATATTTTAAGAAAGAATAATCATTTTCAGAAATTATTGTTCATGAAAGACGGTCATTATGAGAAGTTTCACTGTATAATAAAAAGGCATATTAAAAATTTCGTTTGCTAGAAATTAAGGAAAAATACTAACCGCATGAAAAGACCATGTGTTTTCAGAATGCTTGGCATCAGCAATAACTTGTTCGCTGGTTGAAGGCAGAAGATGAGGATCCACGGTGATCTTGGATAAGGTATCAATGATTTCTTGGATGTGGTTAATTTCATGCAGCATTGCTAATTCAGATTCCTAACACAATAGATACATAAATGTACATCTTCAGTTTACATATACAAATTCTTATGCAAACATATGAATTTAAGGGATAACATAGTAGTATCTGCATGACAAACATATAAATCTACTGAATATTAATTATTGATTTTCTATCTTAATAAACTTAAAAAAATTCACGCATATTTTTCTTACTATAATTAAAATAATTTTAAATTAGTCAATTGAAATAACAGAAGATTAAGATGCTTACCAAAACAGGTTGTAAATAGCCAACAAATAGACAGAAGTGACTTCGTTCTTCAATTAATGCTTTCCTCACTGACTGCTTCTCTATTTCTTCGAGCAAAAGGTATTTGTCTGTGACATCTTGCAGAGCATAATCCAGTGTACGTCGAATGTCAATAACACCAACTACAACATATTGCAAAAATTTCAGTAAGGTAATTCCTGTTTAAGTGACTAAAGCATAAGCTCTTGGTAGCAATTAAAAAATGCATATTATAGAATGGGCGATTAAGTTTGACAATTTTAGAGACTAAGCCCAGTGCCAATTTAATAAGGAATTTAATTGCCTATTATTAAACATTAGGGAATTTAAATATAGCACAATTTGTTGAATTTTTTTCAAGGTAGTTCCCAAAGGCGCAGTGATCGTTAATGATGTGGCACTCATGAGAATACTAAATACACAGGAAATAGATTAGTTTGTGGAACAAAGAATTTAGTTTTAGAACTGAAAAGGATTTCAAATTCCTAGACCAAGCTTATAATAAATCTGAGTAACTGAGTTAGGTTAATTGACTAAGCGAATGCAACTCAAAGGCTATCTGCCTATGGGAAAGGATGCCTTTGTGGAGGATTTTTTTAAGAGAAAACCACTTGCATGCAAATTGCATAAAGGAAAAATGACAAAGACTCCTATGCAGCAATCCTGTTTGCCAGAATTCAAACCTGAGTCGAACTATCACTGTTTAGAGACTTTACAGCTGAGCTGTTGGTAAGTCACATTTAATTTAGAGACCAGTCTTATAAAAGGAGGTGGGATGTGCTGCCACGTCATGTATTAGTACAGATTTATCACCCAGTGTCCATTACAGCAATATGAGAACTATATACACCCAACCATATGCTTCTTTGGAGAGAATAAACACATTCCATAATGCTGGGAGTAGGTTATGCAGTGCAGAGCTGAAAAATTCATATAATTTGCAAGCACAAAATCATTCTACTTTTCCAATCAGTCCATTCATATGGAATTATATTCGAATACCCTACTATTAAACTTAATTCAGTTAATTAAATAGTATTAAAGCAATTAACTACTTTAGGAGAATGCTTCAGAAAAATAATAGAAATTTGAGCAGCAATTGTTGGCAATGTCAGTCTCAAGTCTTTTTGCTCAAAGACACAGAAATGATTTTCATCGGAATGGTTCACTAATGCATTTTGCAATGACTGTATATGTTGAGAAAAATTTTCTTTTTCTGAGTAGATGTTGAGTAAAATGGACTTTTTTTTCCCCTCTTCTCATACAGCTTAAACTTTTAATTCATTAGAATTCTTCTTTTGGGAAAAATAATGACCACATCTAATGCAAATTTTGACTTCAGACATTTTTGCACAAATCAGGCCAAAACTGAATACATTTAGATGTGAATTTGTGCTGTTAAGATATACGAATTATGTGCTAAGTTGTTATAATATATGTGAATATGTGGTAAGTTGTTAACTGCTGAAATGTGAAGACTTTGGAATCTGAGCAAAAACATTCAGAGCTTGTTACATAATGTTTGTTTGCATAAAAACTAACATCTGATATTGCCCTTTCTGTTCCAGCCCCCTATGCTACATTTAGCTTAACATAATTACTTGTAGAGATTTATTAGGTTTTTCACAGCAGGAAATTTGGAAAACATACGTGCACTCATTAGGTTCTGTAACATGTATCTTTCATTTACTACTTAAATGTGTTAAGCACTAACATCACAAAAGCATTACATGCAAGAATGAGATAATTCCTTAGATTCCGTAATAAATATTAATTTTGAACACAGAAAATAATTAAATTTATTGAGTTTACAATACTCTTAAATGCACGTATATAAACATAAAACATATCCATCTACATAAAATCTAAAATAAAAGAAAATAATACCTTTCTTGACTTTTTTCTGAAGTCTTAGTGTATCAGAAGATTTCTTTTTTAACTCTTGCTTTGCACGTTTGTATTCTAAACAGTAACAGACATGAATTTAGATTATTAAATTGCAAGATTCAAATTTCAGGAGAAAGGGAAAAAAATAATAATTACATTAAAATGCATTATTACATGCACACACAGATATATATGCATACATAAAGATGCATTTTCAATAATTCTATTCAAAGTGATCTTACCTTTAGTATGTTCTTTATCTAAATTATTAGATGCTTTCTTCCATTCCTCTACTTTTTCTTGGAGAGGGCTGATTAAAGCTTCTAGTAATGCACTGAAAATGTATTATAATATTAAAAAAAAAAAGTTATAAAATATAAATTTCAAATTGTAGTAGCAAAATAATAAAAATTTCTTTGCATATATAGATTAATGGTTACTGCATACAATAAATATATATATATTAGGTTTTTTGCAAATGAAATAGCCACTGAATGATATCAAGTTTCTACTGATTGAACAGGAAAACAAGTCTTGAGATTCATCATATTTTTATACCATGTGACAATGGATATTTTCAATACTTGTTTTTGTATAAGCATTAAACACAATACTGATGATATCAAGTCAATTACAGAACCCAATCAATTATGGTGAGTATACCTTTCTAAGCTCAAATTTTGAAATTCTGCTGATAGAGGAAACAGTGTGTTAGGGCATGTAGTGCATGTAATACCAATGTATTTGGATGTCTCAGCATGTGGCAGGATGTACAACACTAGGTCAAAAAAAAAAGGGGGAGACAGTTCTATACCTCCCGTTCTAATTGGCCAGTCAACAAAACTCAACTTGCATGTTTCATGCCTCAAGAGTGTGGCTTACAATATCTATGAGGTTTATATACAGCGTTGTCCTAACAGATGAATTTTGACACCAAATTAGAACTTTTCTGAAATGATTTCTGATTTTTTTTTTCAATGTTTCAATTCTACACTTGAAATTATGTGAAAGTGCCAAATTTTGTAAAAATTCATGGAGCAGTTTATTTATTTTTTTTAATTAACACAACTTTTATTCTGCAATGTGAACTGAATTTGGTACACATTTAATATCTCTTTTTTAATTATACTTAGATTAGAACTATTGTTTATATTATTATTAATTATGATAGATATTATAATTTTTTTTCATTATACTTTAAATTTAAGCGTTGTTCTTTATTAAATAAATGTTGCATTGTTTGATTTCATACTAAAGTAAATTAAATTTTTCAAAATTATTATTTTATCTTCTTTTCCAGAATTTCATCACATTATTTTAGGTTATTTGAATATGGCAAAGCTAAAAAGAGCTTTTTGCCTAAAAGAAGAGATACTTTTGTGAAAAACTTTCTAACGGAAACTGGTTTGTGTTCATTTTACACATGGGGAAACTATAAAAATGCAACCAGCCTGTTTGCCTGAATTTGAACATTAGACAAACTATGAGTATTCGGTGCTCTTTAATCAGTTGGCCAGTGATAACACATACTTAAAATAAGAGCTATGTTATTAGTCTCTAATTTTCTACTTGATTTGTAAATATTTGAAATATTATTACAGGCAAAAGTCTTTAATCCAGACTCGTCGGGACTTCGGCGATTCTGGATTATCAATTTTTCCGGATTATAGATCATCAGTTTAAATCTGGCAAGATGGCATGCAGAAATTATAAAATTAAAAATATGAAATTGTAATTATGAAATAAAGAGCAATTATGATCTAAAGGATATCCAAATTTACAAAAAAAAAAGCTTAATATTTATTTGTTTGCTTTGTTAAACATTTCTTTCAACACGCGCATGCGTAAACCATACATTATGCATAGTCAAAATTAGAAAATTGCAACCAGAAAACTATTTGATGTGTATTCGTGATATTTATAATAACGAGAAATTTGATTTAAATCATATCAAAGACGGAGTACATCAAGATGAAATACTACATTTAGTAAGGAATTATAAGCCGAATGAAATAAAAAGATCTGCCCTGAAGATAAGGATAATGCTGACAGATCAACTTCCAGTTCATTGCGCCCCGCAATTTCCACAATTTCCCTACATACTCCGTACATATATTACCTAAATCAAGACAAGTTGCAAGTGGTATTCTTGTTGGACTAAAGAAATCTCTTACTTCTTTTTCACAATTATTAGTGATTTGACTCTGTCAGTGGTATTGAGTTGGTTTGCACTGAAGTTTGGAAAAATGATGTCTGTTTTACAGTTTTTGTGTGCTACATCCCACCCATCTGGTAACACAAAATTAAATTTTGACACTGTCTCTTTCTAAAAAAAAAGGAAAAAAAAAAAAAAAAAAACACTGCTAATGCTCATAGCACTGTGGGTTATTGCATCACTGAATATTACGCAATGCCATTCGGCTGGCAGCCATGATGATCAGCTACCACACCACTCCAAGTGACTGTGTTGCGATTGTGGCATTAAAGACAGTAGTTTTAATAGCCATGGTGAGCGCAATCCCACTTCAGCCAAGTTCCATGAGATGGTGGGAAGTGCCACAGGTGGTATGGAAGAGGCTGTAGCATATTGGATGCATACAATGATGCCACCAGAGCAGTTTGGGCCTGTGGCCCAATCATCCAATTTACCTTGCATTCATGCACCTTAGTCTTCAAGAGACTTTGTTTTGTCAATGAAAAATTTGTAGCAACCAATTTTGCCAATATCTTTGCATAGAGATGTCTGAACAGTGTAGGTGGCGGCTTATTGCTTGTTATGACAAGACTGATTCATGCATCTCTACTATGCAACCATATTACTTCAATTGTCCAGTCTTCGATAACATCGTAGCTGCATTATTGGTTGCGTCTTCAGAGAACTGTAATGCCAAGAACAAGAAAATATAAACTGCAATGGTTATTGGTTGCATACAATGCTAGCTGCGCAGTAAAAACACACACTGTTACCGAAGTTAACACTCGCTAGCCTTGAAAATTTAATCATTTGCACACTAGATATGAAAGAATTTACATCAAAATTTCAAGATGATAGATATGATTATTCTTTAAGAGTGATTTTTTTCAGGGGGTTGTAAGGGTGTGCAATATGATTTTGATGTAAAATACATCAATATCTAATTAGATATTCTAAACGATCTATTCTTCGATTAACTTCATTTTTTATCCTTTTATGCTCAGAAATTCTTGAGTTGAGAAAAAAAAACTTATTTGTTAATGTACTTTTAAATAAAATGAGAAAAGAATTAATAATTAATGTACTTACAATGTACAATTAATAATCAATGTCTTACTGTGTAGCTATGTTATTTATTGAAGAAAAACATATATATTAACCAACTAAACGTTAATTGAATCTTTATAAAAAGTTCTACAATGGTGTTCAGTAGATTAAGTCAAATTCAATAAGAAAAATTTAAATAAAATTCAATAAGAAAAATTAAGCTGAAAATCATTAGTCATTAGCAGCATCATTGCATCAAGAGAGATGAAATTGCAGAATTTAAGTTTTTCATTTATTACTAGAGAATACTTTCCAGAATGGTTTTTTTATTAGTAAAAGCCAAAAATTCAAAACCTAGAGATCAGGACACGAGATCAAAAACTGGCAGAGTTGTGGGTCTCATGACTTTTTCAGAAGTTTTCTAAGAACAAATTTGGCTTCAAAGCTGATGTAAGAGTGCTGACCGCCATACATGATCTAAATAATCTGCACAGATGCTATATTGTTGCTTTGGACAGTCAGTACCTATGCAGTCAATTTATTTACTTCTGGCATCAACTTTTTGGGCTTCTCACTAACTTCTCTTTTCCATTTCTCAAAATATAATCCGTCTCATATCCAAAATAAACCACCACTTTAGCGCTCAAGAGAAGTCTTTAAATAACCTAACTAGATCAGCAAGTTATAAGCAATTTTTCTAACTTCTGAATAAATTTCATAAATTTTGAAAGGTGGTGTATTTTTAATTATGGCAAAGCACACTAGGGCTATTTGCCTAAGGGGAGGGATGCCTTCGTGGAAGACTTTCTAAGGGAAACTGGCTCATATACACGTTACACATGGGGAAAACCACGAAAACACCCATGTAGCCAGCCCATTCACGGGATTCGAACCCCGGATCGAACTACCAGTGTTCAGCGACTTTACCGCTCGGTCGCTGGTGGGCTAAATTTTGAAAAGAATTGATACATGAAAACCATTTCAACCCGTATTTTATGAGATAGAATTTTAATTTTAAAATATTTTCTAGGAAACTAATATGCTCCACATATTCGCTCAAATAAACGTCATCTTGGAATAAAGAAGCCATTTCCGTTCAAAAACATTGAGACAATATCTCACATTTAATCGCTAATACTAAAAAAAATTCGCATTTATTCACATAGATTTTGTAAATACGAAAATTACACACATATGCACATGCATGCACTGCACATGAAGAATCTGAGCTTTCACAGAGATTCAAACTCAGAAATTTTCAAGTATATACAGGGAAAGTGGACACAGCACCAGAACTTTGCTTTACAGCAGTGATCGACAAACCGTTGATCACGAGCTATTAGCAGCTCACTGACAAACCTCGATTCCTCCATTGAGCTGGTGCTGACGACAACTACTTGTTTCTATCGCACAATAGCCGCTGTCTGCCTCATCTCATAGTTAATCGTATATGCGTGGAGTTGTGCATATTATGTTTTTCGTATGTATATTAGACATTTGCTAACTTAAATAGTTTGACTTATGCATTGGAACCAAGCTAGGTCTGTTTGAACGAAGGCATGTTGAAGCAAAAAATTTAACACTTTCATTATTCAAAACTTATCGCGGAATGGAAAACCGATTATTCTTTATCCATGTAAAAGACAAATGTGTGTGTTTACTATGCTATGCAAGTGCATCAGTTCGTAAAAAAGTAGTGAATTCAACAAACACTTCCAAGATTTCAAAAAGATTTCAATTATTTAGAGATAAATAGAGATTAACATTGAAGAGTTCTCTACTTGCGTTATGGAGCATTTTGATTTTCAAGAAGATAATGCTGCAGTGGAGTTGGAACTGATGGATTTTCAAGATGATATATCTGTAAAATCGCTTTCTTTAAGCTCTGAAAATATTTGGCTTCTTGTTCCTAAAGAAAAATACCCAATTTTGGTCCAGGTTTGTCGCAAATTGCACGCAATTTTCAGTTCTACATATCTGCGTGAGATTTCTTTTTCCAGTACGAAATTTATTAAAAATAAGTATAGAAACAGACTCACTGATGAACACTTGGACAACTCTATTCGAATGGCAGCCACTCTATCTACTCTCACAGCACTAAAAAACTTGTTGATGACCCCCCAAAAAAGGGGGGAGGGTTCAATCCTTCTCATTAAAGTTAATAAGTCTGATTAAAAAAATCTGTCCTTACACTTGTTATTTATTAGTAACTACATTTCAGTTTCTTTTTATTATATACAGTTTGATTAAAATTGATTTCATATTTACTAGAAATGTACGTTGTAGACAATAAACAAATGTGAGATTTTTTTTAAAACATTGGCAGTTCTTTTGGTTCGTAGCTCGCAATAGGATTTAAAAACGGTACAGTGGTTCAGAAGCTTCTTAACTTAGGTGATCACTGCTTGACAGGTTACAGGTTTTGCTCCATCGCACTACTGTTAAAGCAGAATATCTATCAAAGGGCATACTGCACCGCGCCTCGTAAACCAGCTCATAAGTATATAGACAGGCTATTTTTAGCCGAGCTAGCTGAAGCCAGTAATCAATGCTGAACATCTCCACAATAAAATCACTTCTAGTAATTTCTTCCTCAACCTTCATATTCAAACACGATTTAATTACATGTGTATTTCACATCACCATTTTATTCGACGTTGGATGTGCCTCAATCCAGTACAGAATTCCCCAATCATGGAGAAATGCTCTTAACCTAGACAGCACACAATCTTACTCACACATATACAAGTAAAGTACTTCATATCGTTAAACGCTGGATTCAATAAGTTTTACTGCTACTGCTCACATCAAAGAAAACAAGAAGCATAAAATAACAAAATACGCACAAGAAAAAAAATCAGAAATGAAACTACGCAATTACATCAAATACTACAAGATCGCTACAAATTTAAGATAGCTTACATCCAAAATTTTAAAAAAAATTTGCTCTTAAAAATGCAGTTAAAATCAATGATGTGAAATACAACAAAATAAATTATTACTTTGAAAATATCTTCAATTTGGCTTCTACACTTCTCTGTCTTAAACATAAACGAGTAAGTGCAGATCCTATTTCTTTAGTAGCACCTGGATTGAAAAAGATTATTTTATTAATTACATTTAAATTTTAACGAGTTACAAATTAACAGAAAATAACAGTCAGCCATTAATCATACATTACTTATGCAATTAATAAAAAGGTTATACAAAATGAACTAATAAATCAGTGCTCATAAAATGTATTAAAACGAAAAATTTCAGGCAAATATTACAAATTACTTTTACTACATTTCATGCTAAGAAAAAGATTCATATTAAAAATATGAATATAAGATTATAGAAATATAGAAAATTGAGATGCTTCAAATCTTTGAAGCATACATTATGTATAGGGGTCTTCAACATTTCACGCCCGAGAGCCACATCAATAGATTCATAAACATATGAGGGCCACATGTCTGTCAAAAAAATACTGAAGTCAGAAAATTTGTATAAAAAAGGGAAGTTTATTTTGCAAGACTGCATTCTAAGCGATGAGATAGTGTTACACATTTGTGTGTGTATATATATATAAAAGTAGTAATTATAATTTTTAAAAAAAACCAATTTTGGTCTAGAAAACATCTTGCGCAATATGCTGCAAAATAAGTAACACATAAAAATTGTAGTAAGCTCGCCTAAAAGTTACCAAGAGCTGCTGCTCCAAAAGGTTCAACATGTTTTAAAAAATTAATACATATGAAAATCAAACCATTAGACATGTAAAACATTAAAAAACAGAAAAAAGATAAAAAGTAAGCGGAAAATGGTAAATTAGCCCAATTCGAACCTCCAAACCAGGCTTTCAAGGGAAATTCATTTATTTGAACGTCGAATCAAGCCAACATATATATTATATATATATGTATATATATTATGTATATATGTATAATGTATATATATACATTGTTTCCAAAAAGTCAAATGGAAATCGAATTGAAATGTTTTGCAACTATTTTTAACTATGAAAAAAAGAGTATAAACATGATTGTACAGAACAATGTTACAAAATGCAGTTACAATAAAAAAGAACTTATGTTACTGGCAGGAGATGGTAGTTTTAATGTTTAGTTTTAATGTGAAATTTCACATCGTTTATTAAAGCTTCAATATCCGGCTTAATCCGTGTTGTTGCAGTTCGTAAAGTTTCCTCCAAATGTCTGTCAGTCGTGCTCTTGTTTTTGATTTTAGGATGTTCATTTTATTAAAAAATTGTTCACATATGTAGGTACTGCCAAAGTTAGAAGACGTGAAGAGTGCATGTTTACGAATTCCTGGATACTTGCCTTCGGTCACGTACTTCGAATAAAAGTCAATTAATGTAGTATTTTCAAGAAACTTGCAATTTACTGCAGAGTCACATTGTAAATCTATAAATTCTAATTGAAGTGCAGGTGGAACACTTCTGCCGTCTACTGAAAATGGCGAGGAGAACATTCTCATAAAAATTTAATTTTCACGAAATCGGAAAATCTGCTTTTGAATTCCTCTTTCAAATTTGAAATGCATTGTACATAATTATTTGAATGTCATGTTGTAGAGTTTTTCACACACCCCATCCGTTTTGGAAAGTTAGTGGAATTCTTATTTAGCAACTGACTTTTTCCCACAGGATTAATTTTGTTTCAAAAGCTTTCACAAAGTAATAAAGATTATGAACAAGTAGATCTTTTCCCAGTAAGGGGTAGTTCAAATCATTGAGATGACCTGTAATATCAACCAGAAATGCAAAGTCTGTCAACCATTTCTCATCACTGAACTCGTGAATAGATTCCATGAATTGTTGATTTTCGTTCTTCAAAGAAAACAGGAGCTGAAGCATCTTTTCCCGGCTCAACCAACGTACTTCCTCGTAATACACAACATCACGATATTCAGTTTCCAAATCACTCAAGAAGTGTTGAAATTGTCAGTGATTAAGTCCTTTAGACCGAATGAAATTAACCACTTTTACAACAGAGATAAGAATCTACCCTTTTTATGGAATTGAGATTTTATGCATAGTAATTTTTTTTTTATTTTTAAAATTATAGAAAAGAAAGGAAATTTTTAAAAAATTCGTCATTTTCCGAAAATTTTATCTCAAGTAATATCAGGCATGTCAGTTAAATGTTTTATATATCAAGAATAAGAGAAAAAAAAATTTTTTTTAAATCAAAATTTCTTAAAATTCTTCAAATTCAAATATGGGGCCACCAAAATACCTTCAGCGAGCCAATCCGTGACCCGCGGGCCACCAGTTGAGGACCCCTACTTTAAGAGATGCTAAAATATAACAAAGCAAACATTGTAGAATGCATGGCCACCTGTTAAGCAATTAAGCTCAGGGGGCCCATTTTTTTCTCCCCGCATGCCATTTTTTGCAGTATAAACAGCTTTCAAGGGTGCGTATAAAAATCAGTTTTTACATTTATTTTATTCCCACTTTTGTATTTTTTAAATATTTCATTTCTGTATGCGTGTTTGAATGTGCTATTCTCAATTCCACTCTAGTTTTATAAAGAACGTTTGGACAAAAATCTGTCTCCTTAACGCAGCTTTTCACAATCATCCTTTCAAAACAGCGTTCAGTTCAAGATTGTGCCATGGGTCTTCAATTGCTTCATTTTCACTAAACCGAACAAGTTGCGTTTCATGCAATTTTCGTAGCTGTGCAGTGCTTAAATTGCGCCGGAGCCCACTGGACCCCGGCTACTGTACTTCTCAATTTTTAAGATAAATTACAATTTTAGCCGGAGCGCACCGGAGCTCTAAATAAGATGAGCTCCGGTACTTTTTATAAAACTGAACCACAATTTAAAGGGGGGAAAAAATTAGAATTCCTAACGTTTTAGTTTAACAATAAGCAGACCTTGCAATACTCTATTTCCCTAGAAATATGAACTCATGAGAACATTAGACATTCAAGTAAAGTCCCGTCACTCACATAAACTTTCCCTTTAAGAAAAGCAATAAATTTGGGGGAGTTTGTTTAGGAACGCCTAAATTTCTCACCATGCCATCATATCTAGTGTATTGTTATCGATGCTTACAGTTAGTTATCCTCGCAGGAAGGAAAATTTGTGTTCTTAAATGTGCGTTAAGTGACAGCAAGTACAATAAGAGTGAAATACTGAGATTAGATCCTATACGTCCTATACATCGTCTTCCCACAGTATCCATTAATTGGGGAGAAAGCGTAAACAGCAACTTTACATTCATCCTTAGGAGTCAGATTCAGGACTCATTTTACTCCTGACACACATCTGCTTGATGGCTATAATTATATCAGCAGAGAGCCGCGGTCGAAGAGAACGTTCTCTCTCACCAAGATTCCCCTCATTTTTTGTTTCCACCCACTCATACCCTCATTCTGTTTCTGGCTATACTTTAAGTATATGTAATTTTTGTGATGATAAAAGAACTTTTTCACCCCCCACGATCAGAGCTTAAATTGGGCCGCAGCCCACCAGATGTCGGCTCCGGTGCTTCTTAGTTTTTGTAATAAATCATAATTCTAGCCGCAACGTACCAGAGCCCTGAATAAGAAGTCTGCAGCACTTCTTTAATGTAATTGAATTACAATAAAGAAGTCTGCAGCACTTCTTTAATGTAATTGAATTACAATTTCAGTAGAAATTTTATCTGGAAAATTTTATTTTAACAATAAAAAATTATATTAAAAATCGCTTATTAAATTTCAACTTATCTCTTACATTATTTAATTTAATTATTTAATTACTTCAATCTTTAATTATTTCAATAAATAATAGTTAATATCTAATAATTTTCAAATAGTTTAATTAATTAATTATATAATAATTATTTATTAAATGGACAATTTATTAAACATTAATTAAATAGCTATTAATTAATTTGATAATAATTAACTATTTAATTTAAAAATTATTAATGAGTTTAATAGTCATTTATTTATTTATTTACTCTTGTTCCTCTTTGCTGATGGTCTTTTCCATAGGGCTCCGGCACTTCTAATCTTAGAAATTAAGCCCTGTAGCTGTGTCGTGTTAGGCTCATGTTTCATATGCTCTTATTAGGAACTTTGAATGAGTTATGCATAAATAAGAAAATAAACACCTCCGTCTGTTTTTTTTATTGCAAAATAAATTGATTACTATTCATCAATTGATCGATAGTAAAATATTTTATCCGAGTAGTAAGACAATTCTTTCAAATCGCTGAGTTTTCTGATTAGATTTGAAACAATTTGACGAGTGGCACTAGATTGCTTTTCAATCGCTGAGTTTATTAATCAAAATTTTCATTAAGTTCGCACAAAACAAAGTTTTGTTTTGATTAAGGCCCCCCACCCCCCAAAAAAAAAGAGACGAAAATTCAAAATTCGGATTTCGAGCTGCACATGTTAGGATGGAGAACTATATGTACTGAAAATCTAGCTCTATGGTGCTGCCATTTTCTCAAAATGAAAGAATACACATACATACAGATTCTTCCAGGGCTTAATTCTAAAAGTAAAAGTGCCGGAGCCTTATGGAAGACCATTAGAAAGAGGAACAACAGTTAAATAAAATGACTATTAAAATCATTAATAATTTAAAAATTAAAATAGCTAATGAGTATCAAATTAATTAATAATCATTTAATTGATATTAATATTTATTATTTAATTAATTCATAATTAATTTCTTATTAATTATTAAAATAAATATTAAAGTAATTAAATAAAAAGGTAAAGATATAAATTTAAAATAAATAAAATTAATTAAATAAATGTAAAGAGATAAAGTTTAATAAGCGATTTTTAATATAATTTTATTGCTACAAATAAGATTTTCGAGATCAAATTTTTAACGAAATAATTGTTCGGTTACATAAAAGAAGAGCCGAAGCCTTCTTATTTAGGGCTCCGGTGTGCTCCGACTAGAATTAGAATATGACCCAGAAACTAAGAAGTACCAGTGCAATTTAAGCTCTGGATTCTTCAATATTCACTAACAGAGATATTGAGTTACCCCCTGACTACTGTCAACTTACTGTCTACTTACTAACTACTGTCAATTTAAAATTCAGTACACTTATCTTCTCAT